AGCAGTAGCAGTAGCAGCAGTGGTAGTAGAAGGAAGAACAGTTCTCAGCATAATAGCATATCCCAAACATTTACAATCCGCTGGGCGAGGGCAACACCAACAAGATTGAGTTGCTGCCGTGAATGACGTAGTTGATGGCAGGTCCGCCCCAGCGAAGTGTGCCAACTGCCAAGATTTGCTGATCAAGACTCCAACTCTGAAACGCAATCCCGGATGCCAATGCAGATGCAGCATGTGGCGACACTCAAAGCAGCCCTGGCTTCCGCCTCTACAAGTGCATGTGGCCACGCTGCCCGCAACAGCGGTATTCGAGAAGCAGCATCCAGAGCCCTCGGCACGATGCGCGCACGCAGAATCTCAAACTGCTGATATTCCGCTGGTCCAACAAAGTACTGCCACACTACGCAGTTGCCAAGCGTCACTCGTTGCATGCAGAGCTGCCTGAACAACGCAACAGATCTGCACCAGTCAACCTTGCAGGGGCAACATTTGCAGTTCCAGCACTGCTGTTTGTCACGCCATAGAGCTTTCAATCTCTCGTTGCGCAGCCATTTGCCTCGGCCAGCGTGCTGAGGACCACATCCGAATGGATGGTGTTCACCTGAACCTGAAGCTCTGAAAGGCTGGAAGCAACTCGGAAAATTCAGCCAAGCGCCCTGCGCCTGCAGCGCTGGCATTCGTTGGAGATGATGAACTGCAAGCTCCCAGCACCGCCTTTGCTCTCTCCCACAGCTTTGCTTGTGGAAACAGGGCAGGAAGGTGGCTGCAGCTGAGACACAGCTTCTTACAAATGCGGAACAGCGGGGTCTGACCTGCATGCTGGATCTCTCACCCAGGAGGCTCGTTATGCACCCATGTCATGTTTGCCAATGTATGCTTTCTGAAGATGCACATAAGTCTTTCCCGGCAAGCAGAGGCTTCTGAGCACCAAGCCGACAGCATCTTCAGCTATGCCAGCATCTGACAATTGGAAGTCGAAGGATTAAGTTGCGTGGCCAACATGCAAAGACGCTGAAGCGTGCGCACTCGCATCACAGCCAGAATTCATTGCCATTGGCTGATCGCAGTTTTCGGGCTGGCCTCTTTGTGCTGCTGCAGCCATGAGCGCCCTGACAAAGTCACAGGTCGCTCTTCTCAAATGAAGCTTGGCGGATGCCTTGCTCTTTACTGTACATGTCTCGGTCCATGCTTCTGACCCTACACTCTACGATACTTTACGACTTTGCGCATCTGTGCTTTGTCCATTCGAAATGCTCATCCATAGCTTGCTGCACACACCAAGCCACACCTGCACCAGTTCGATCTGGACGCTGCGGCGGAGACAATGATGTTGAAGCCTTGGAATGCTCTGTGGGATGCCCTTTCTGCCTCTATCAGGACACACTTGGATTGAGGACCTACCCAGACCCCAAGGTGCGTGCTGACCACACTGGGCTCCACTTCAGCCTGGCAAAACAGCACACGACGGCTTCCAAACTGAAGCTACCCGAAGCTTGGTACTTGTTTGGCCCCAGCCTGCTCCATGCGTGCCAAGCCTTCAGCAACCAGTCCCCAGCGGTCTGCCCGTGCGCAGCGCGACAAATCATCATGCCAGCTATGCCTTGCAGCTTCGAAGCTACAGGGCTGAGATCCTACCTTGAAGCAGGAGAACTTCACTTTCAGATCGACACCCGTCCTGATCTTTGCGAATTCTTGACGGCCAGCTCTGCACAACCTCGTGCCACAAGTCTACACGTTCGCAAAGGGCAGAAGACTGCTAATCTCCCCCCATAAGTTCGCAATGTCAGGGGTGCCAGTAGCAGTGCAAGTTGTGTGCGTGAGCCAGTGTGCCCGCCCACGAAAGTGGCTGCAGCACAATTTCCATCGGGTGGCGTGCCAAGCTCGAAGCACTCAGTCCTATGTCGCCAGCAGCAGTCCAGTCTAGCGGGCCGTGGGAATGTCACTGGAGCAGAATCACAAAGGACGCCAAAGCCATCATGAGAACGGAAGTATGGAAGGAAATGCATTGAAAGCTATGGTCAGAATGGCTATGGCTTTTTACCGCAGCAGCCCCAGATCGTCCTGGCAATTTGTGTGCGGCGCGTAGTCATGCCTGCCCTGCCGCTGCTGCATGTCCGCACGCAGGAGAGCAGAATGGCATGTCGCAGGATGGGGAGCCCAAACGGCTGTGACACCAGACAATGCATCCGTCAAAGCAGGCAGACACTTCCACCCTGCACTCTCCCTTTCGCTTCAACCTGCGTTCTCATGGGAAAGGAGGGTGAGCACCTGTACCAAGCCGTCCAACGCTGCGTTGCGCACACTTGCGGGCCAGTCCTTCATGCACGCAATCATGCCCTCATGATGCTGTCCGCCAGGTGTAGACACTTGTCAGCAATGCTTCACTCTTGTAAGGGTGGCTTTGTTCAATGTCTGACTGCACTCGGCTACGTTCATCAACCATCCTGACCACCGCAGAAGGCCCCAAGCATCACATCCAATGACCAAGATGACAGACTGACGAATTTGGATTCTTGAACATGCTTAGCTGCTTGTGAGAAATCCGGAGCAAAAAAGAAGGCGAGAACAAAAGAAAATTCACCCAAATATACCCAAAAGCACACTCTCATTTCTCTTGTGAGGACCCCCAAACCAGGGCTCCCAAACTGTGGAGATCCTAAAGTATACTTGACTTACCGGGGGTTGTATTATATGGGCGCTGTAAACGGGATTCTATTCCCTAACTCCCTAACCCATCCTAAACTCCAAACCCTCTAAATATTCCCCTTGTACGGTACGAAGCAGCAGTAAGCATATTGGGGCTTGTATAGGGGTAATAATTATAGGGATAATGGAAAGAAAATGGAAAAATGGAAGCTACTATTTAGGGTTTAGGGTATATATTGGGCTTATATAGGGGTTGTATAAAGGGTTATATAGGGGTTATATAAATGGTATATAGGGCCAAAACCCTAAACCCTAAACCCTAATATAGGGGTTATATTATACTCAACTCCTGGAGGCCGGCAACCAGAGCCCCAAGGGCTCCTTCGTCGCCTTGCAAGCTGACAAAACCATACGAGTGAGGAGGGGTTATGAGTTTAGGGTTTAGGGTTTAGGGTATATGGGTGGCGGTCAAAATGATGGTCCCTTTTTGGGCACCCTAAATATTAGGTGTCGTATTATAATGGGGATCCAAAAAAGGACCATAATTTTGACAACCACCCATATTAACAACAGAATTAGCACGTACACAAATGAACAAGAAGAATAATGAACAATAAGAATTTTTCAAATATCAGTAATGACAACAATACTAAGAAACATGAAAATGTGTTTGCACTACCAGTAAAGATGGATTCTGACTGCAGGCATCTCGCATTGCATGATCTCAAGGCCCTAAACCCCAAACCCAAGGAGCTAGCTCAGGCACCAGGCCCAAAGGCTATAGCTATACATGAAGATTCAAGGATATGGGTTTAGGGGTTTTTGGGTTCAGGGGTTTAGGATGTGTCGCACGAAAAGGTCTGCATCCTTTTAAAGCGGTCACGCACGCTGCCCAGCACAGGTTGCAAACAAGCCGGTTGCTAGCAGGCGGCTAGCAGCTAGCGCTGGTGAGCAGCCTAAGCGCGAGATGCCTTTTAAGGTACAACTAATGTACATATGGATCACAAATAATATGTGCCTCAGCCAAGCTGGTCGCTGGTGAGCTGTGACTCCTCTACTTTAAAAGCCGCAGAAGTGTCCCTTCCTTCCCTGGACAGTTTGCATGAGGTTGTAGAATTCCTCGAACTCGAGGGTGCCAGTGTTGTCGAGGTCATGATCTGCCAGGATTTTAGGGATTTGAGCCGGCATGACAAAGATGCCGTTGCAAATGAAGCAATTGAAGAGCTCTTTCTGGTCGATCCTTGGCAGCCCAGTAACCATATTACAATAAGGGTACCCTTTTTTCTGTGGGTATTTTATATATGGGAACCCAGAACCCAAAAAGGGTAAAGAAAACCCTAAACCCTAAACCCTAAAAGGGTACCACTGGGGTTCCTAGGATCCTGCCATCCCCGCCCTCGAACATCCTGAAGACACGCTCTGCCTCATTGCGCTGGTCAAACTGCTCGGCAGGGTCAAAATCCTGGGTTGCTGTTACGGAACTTAAATTAAGTTACCCTAATGGCCTATAATGGAGAATCAAATGGAAAAGAAAATGGAAAATGAAATGGAACTGGGGGAATATAGGGATTTAATGAACTTAAATTGAGTTACCCTAATGAGTATATATAGTAAATAATAGGGTTTCCCCAATATAGTAACTTAATTTAAGTTCCTTAACAGCAACCCAGAATCATCTGGAACATCATCATCATCTTCATCGTCTTCCACCTCCTCAAATTCCACGCTTTCATCTCCATCACCCTGGTAGTTGTAGTCTTGACCATCGTCTGGGTCTGGCGTGAAGTCTGAGTCCGTGAGGCCCATAATTGCATACTGTCCAAGGAAATTGAAGTTAGAGTTGCAGATGTAGTCGTAGGGGACGTAGGCATACCCACGGTCACCCCAAGACGTGCCCCAACTGTTCCGAATGATGAAGCATTCCTGGTGCACGACAGGGCATGGCTAGCTAGTGAGAAACATGCGCCAGGCTATTCCTAGCAAGCATTGTCCTGCCGATCATTGTAACCCACAATGAGCATGGCATGAAGCCCATGTTCGGAGGATTGGGGATCTGAAGGATCTGGCGTCTTGATGCCACCGCCCGGAAGTGGCCTGAAAAACCTTGGACCAAGACATTCTCAGACGCGTCTGACGCTACAGGCTGCACAAGCTCTGGGAATTCAGGGCCAACTGCATCTGCTTGTTTTATCATATTAGGGTTTTGAACCTCAGCACTAATTTGCCGAGCGTTCCCAAGTCAAGCTGTGTCACAATTGCCTGAGGAGCAGGCTGGGCAGTCAGCTTCAGGCCGAAGACAATGGGATGGCCTGATCGGTTTAAGGTGAACGGACAAATTATCAAGCTTTGCCACCCACCGGCCTTCTGCCAAGCATTCTCTCATGGAATCAAGATCCACAGGCACTTCCTTGGACTCAGCAACCTTGTATCTGACCTTGGGACAAGTCATTGCGTCCATCCACAACTGCAAAAGTCTGAACATGCCCTAATGTAACCCCCATATAACCCGAATATAATCCCTATATGACCCCAATATTACCCCAAAATTCTGCTATGCACCCTGAAAGCATGGTGGGACTGGAAATTCAAGGGCACTGGCTGAGGGCACAATGTGCATTCCAAGCATGTAGAGACTGAAGCACTCTGCAAACCCTGTCAGGATCTACTAAAAACTAGACTAGACCGTCTGCAACCGTCATATAACCTCAACAGTATCAGAATTCCAGCGTCCATTTCATTTTCCATGTTCTTTCCATTTGAGAAGCCATCATGGTAGTTTCGAATGTCTTTTCCATCCCTGAACCCTAATTGCTGAATAATAGTGGCCATTTTCTTTTCCACTATTCCTATATGATCCCTATAGAACCCCATAAAGCCCCTATATATGATCCTCGCTCGCAGCGCGCCGGCGCCCCCACCAATTGTATCCGCCCCCACCCGCCCGTGCTTCAAAATAGAACCCCCAATATAACCCCCAATATAACCCCAATAGAACCCCAATATAACCCCCAATGTAACCCCCAATATGGATGGGGCCCCAGGGTTGCCATCCTCGTAACTGTCGTCGTTTTTCGTGCTTGCATCGTCTCTCAAAATTACCAACTGTCAGCTGGATCCGGGTGGGTTTCATCGCGGTCCTCGCAACTGTCAACGTAGTTTGAAGCCTCATATCATATTGTTGTCATTTCTTAGGGCCGTCACAAGGATCGGCTTGGTCCTCATCTTGTATGAACTTTCTATAAAACCATTACTCTTTGTAAACGCTTAAAATTTTCTATGAGCTGCTATAAACCCTCCATAAACTGCTAAATTCCCTCTATAAACCATCCATAGACCGATGTAAACCACAAGACCCAGACCATGGGCCACAGGACCACAGGGGCAGGGTGGGGCGATAGGTTATGTCCGACTACAAACACTATAAACCCTTTCTAAACCTTCATTTAAGCAACAAGGCCTTGACCACAGGCCACAGGACATTAGGGGGGGGTAGGGTGTAATAGTTTAGGTAGACCCCCCACCCTGTAATAGTGACTATAAGGAATAGTAATGATTCTATTAGTGTCCTCTTATATTCCTATTATACCAGTATTACAGGGTTGGGGGTCCTCGTAAGTAATAGTTTAATCCTAACCTAGAGCCGAGAAGATGGCTACCATACAAGAGGGGATGTTACCAATCCCAAACCCCCAAACAAACCACAGTGGTCGAGTTCCGACTGTTCCTACAATAATGAGCTGTTCCGTGTATGATGGGGGGGAACCATGAGAGGGGGGGGAGGAGGATGGAGGGGAAGGAAGGGTAGGGGGCCAGCCGCGCTCGGATCATATATACATATATACTGTATATGACCTGAGGATCCGACAGCCTCATTAAAGCAATCTGGGCTAGGCGTGGCGTTTACACGCGACAGCTCGAAAGGCCAGTTCTTTTCGAGGCAGGCTCCCTTCCTCGAGTGGCGGGTTCAAACAACCAGTAACAATTATAATCATCATAACAGCAGCAATAATAACAATAATAGTGGTAAGAATTGTAATCAGGAAAAATAATAGTACAGTAGCATCTAGGATAATAACAAATGAAAGGTGGCACCAATCATAGGAAGTGAAACAATGACACAAATAACAACACTGACAATGTTAATGTCGTTGGCATTGGGCTGCGACATCCATTTGTGATGAATCTCAATCAAATATGGTAGTTTCCACAAACAGGCGGACCCCAATATAAACCCCAAAATACTACAATCCTTGTTACAAGGACCCCCAAAACGTACCCCAAAATTTGAAGAAAAAACACATCACTTAATAATTAGGCCTGCCCAACCTGGCCCTTTTGCCACCCTGGAGGCTGCCCAGTTTCACCTGCAGGGCACTGATGGCACCTCCCAAGGTCATGCCTTCGTCCTTCGGTGATATGGAAGTGTCCTGGAAACAGGCAGGTGGTGAAAATCCGAAAACTACTCGCCCCGACTCCAAAAACAAGGGGTGTGATTTTTCAGGGAGAGCCATCCTCGTGGAAGGTCATCTGGTCCTTCTTCCGGCCCACGTAGTAGATGAACATGCGCGAAATGTCAGCTGTGGTATCCCCTCTCCTCTTGGCCTCACGTACGTTGATGTACCTGCGGTCTCCCAGCCAAGGAAACAGAACCGGCACAACCCTGAGTGCGGAAGGGTTGGGTGCAGATTGCATGGGGGCACTCGTAAGCACCGGCCACGGCGTTTGCGCAGCAGCTGTTGGTCTGAGATTGATCCTCGCGATGCACCAGGTCTCATGACAAAATAGCATGGCCCCCGAGTAAGAATTAGTCTGTCCTGACTCATGAACATTGTTTAGATGCTTCCCCATCATACCCAGTCCTCGACGGGGGACATGTAGTGCCTCAAATCAACCTTCTCGGGCGGATCCTGAGATTAGCAACCAATGACTACATGTGGGGACTGCATGGTCCCTGCACACAATCCAAGTCCGCCCAAGCTTCGTCACCGTCACCACTTGCTTGGAAAGTGGACACCTTCGTCGGCTGCACTTGGTGCGGAACCATTCCGAACCTTGCGACGCTCCCTCGCACATGATGCTATGTCTGAGAGCAGAACCTGCACACATAAATCTGCAGTGTCACTCGAAGGTCCGAAAACTTCTCTTTCTTAAGAGAAGTTCGGTAGAACGAGGGACGGAGCAAACTTCTTGCCATCGACAACGTACTTCTTGGTGCCCTGTCGAGCTGCATCGATCAAGATCGGGACCAACTTGCCCATGACATCCTCTGGGCCTACCTTGCACGACTTGCACGATTCAACGGGTTTAACAATTTGCATGCGATGCCCTCGGCCGTACCCAGCCTTGTACGAAGGACCAGCTCCCATGGCTGTCTGTTAAATTTAGTCTAGCGTTCTTCGCGCTCTACTACTGTGTCAAAAGCTGCCCAAGCCAAGTGCTGCACACAAATTTCACGGGTTCACACAAACTTCACCGGTTCCAGGTGATGCTGTTGATTGTTTGCTGGACTCTTGCCGGTTGACTGGGCAATGTTCACATGTCAGATGCTCAACGCCCCAGCTGCTGCAAGAAACGCCAAAGGCCTCTCTGTGCTGCCGGTGTCAGCGCCTAGCATGCCACTGCAATCTTTATGGCGACTGGCCAAAGTGCAGTGGGCCATGGCGAGCGCCTCAAGAGCGGAGCGCCGAGCTGCCACACACCCAGCGTCCACGCGGCCTTGGCGGAGCGTGCATGCAAGTTCTGCTCCTCATGCTCATTTAATGTAGTAAGGGGCTGGTTTCAGACATCGGTCCCAGGCTATCCCTTGCCACCTCGAGCAAGGCATCGACCACAGGCAGGCCTCAGTTGATGGCTTGCAAGAAGGAAGGCTCTGGATTCTCGCCATGCTAACTGCAGTAGCGAGGCCGTGCATGCAACTTGGCATGGGCGTGCCGGCTGGGGCGCTCTCTGCTTGTCTGGATGTGATCGTCATAAAACAAGCTGTTCCTAGCATTTCGTCGCCTCGGCCCTTTATTGCCAGCCAAGCGCTACATGAGATGCAAGCTCTGACTTGTAAGTGGAGGTGAAGGATCCTACCAGAGTAAGCTTGATTCAGCTGGCTCAAAGAGAGCAGTCTTGGAAAGAATGTCGCTGGAGCAAGGACTTGATTGGAACGTGCGACTCGCAAGTGCAGCAGTCATGACCGCTATAAAACAGCTAGCATCCCACTTGGCATCACATGGATGTTGAAGGCTGAACAAAGACTAATTGGTTGGTGACGACGATCCTTGCGGCCACTTGCTGCTTGACCTCCTCCGGGCGCGTGTCCCTCAGGTCAGACTGGGGTGGAGATGGATGAAGTCCAAGCAGACCAAGCTGTTCAGGCTTTCTGTAGCTTGTTCAATCCAAGTCAGCATGCGTGCCAGCACTTCATGTGATAGGGCCGCAGGCTAACAAAGCAGTTGCAACTACAACACCCAAAACGCAGATGCAGATAGTGTTCCACCCTGGCCAAGGAATCCATCACCACAGCAAGATACATCAAGCATACCCCTCTATGAAACATCGGGCCCATATCTCCCAATAGCAAGGCCTTCGGATGTTTTTCTGCTTGGAGCGTGTCTTGGTCTTCCTGCGCGACCAGTCCTCGATGATGGGGCTGGTGATTGCATGCCGGCAGGTATTCAGAAAATAGACTGCGAGGTCTGCGCTACACTGAAGCTGTTAGGTGATGCAGCATCGCAAAGCATGAACCCAGGATGCCCTCGCGCGTTTTCGACGGCATATTGCTTTGGTTTTTTGAAGACAATAGGGCCTGTCAGGGCTACCTTAGCACACTGCCGGCGCCTTGAATCGAAACAGTAGTTTTAAACAACTACTCGGTATTGGACGGCTCAGCTGCAGCAACTTAGAAGCAATCATCTACTGGCGTTGTAGGCAGCATACAACCAGGCTGGGTGTTCAAAACTGAGACACGGGCACGCAGCTCGTGAACGGATTGGATGCGTTTTACACCAGCTACGGGACACTCCAAAGTAGTCTCCCGCAGTTCCACGCGAAAAAAGTTGAGGTCAAGCCCTTGAACCGAGGGACAAGATCTAGAAAACCAGCGCCCGTGCTTCAACCAGGCAGGCCGTGGGGCACAGCGAAGAAAAAACAATGGTTTTGTTAGGTGGTGACTGTCCCCAGGCCCACCCAGCGATCTCGGGAAATCTGTGGGATCAGTCGACCTCTCTTGGCCTGCTGGTAAGGTACGCGGTCTGACACTAACTCCTGCCAGACACCTTCACAACGTCAGGATCAAAAGTTCCTAGCTTCGTGGGCAACTGTACAAAAGCTCCAAATCACAGCGTCCGTATGCACACGCCTGGCCACTAATCAGTACTTGGCACTATGGTCACGAGGGATACAGAGGCATCAAGTTTGTTGCGGCAAAGGCGTGGACATCTCCCCAGGATACTGCCAGGGGATGCTTAGCTGTAGGGAATGGTACATGGTTCCCGCCCTAAGGCACA